AAATCGTTCCAGAAATGAGATACTCCTAAAGATTGCGTTAAGATTTCGGGAACTTTGGTTTGCAGGGTTCGCTTAGAATTTGTATGGAGTTTTGAGCGACAAACTTCATGTACGTTTATGAATAGTTGATGAGTCTTGTAGCCCATTTAATTGTAGTATAATAAAGTGCAAGTTTTAAACAACTGCAAAATTGCGTTGATTTTTAATATTTTTTACGCGGACGGCTTTTTGCACTTTTTTCGTTTGGAAGAAAATGCGCAAAACCATTTTCAAAGAAAATTAAACGCCAGTTTTGCAATTGCTTAAAACTTGCACTTTATTATAATAAAATTTAATGGGCTACAAGACTGCATACTCAAAAAAATTCTAAATAAAATTCAAAAGTTTGTAAATTTTTTATGTACTCATTTTACTCAACTTCGGTGTAAAAAAAATGCATAAGTCAAATTATTGTAGAGTGCACCCCATATACTACACTTAAATATTGCGCAATACTCAGAGCTACCATTGTGATTTTTTAAATTTTTTCTTTGAGATTGGCATATTTTCAAAGACTACTTTTTTTATCAAAAAATTTGTATGTGAAAAATTTTTCAAGAAAAAAAATTTTTAAATATTGAGAATTTGGATGTGTATATGACCGATTTTTTCAAATTTTTTCCTCGCTCCGTTCTCGAGATATTTGGAAAACTTTTAAATCGATTTGTTATTGTTTTTGTGCTGTAAATGTTTTAAAAATGTATTAATCAAGCTCAAATCTCATATTTATTTATTATTTATGTTTATGCATCAACCCTAAAAACCCCGTCCGTTTTTTGTATGGACGCCCCATATACATATATGCATAAGGGACGCTGTGTAAAAATCTTAAATGCAAATATTTAATCACTTTTAAATAATATGTCTTTTACGTTGAGGCGTGCGAGTAAACGCGTTAGATGACTGCGTATGGTACAACGGGGCGTATACGTTACATACGCAACTACGGGCAATAAGCATGAGTGGTTATTTTTACTTTTTTAGTATGTATTTTTCAAATTTCCGTTTAAATACAATTTCGCGATGGAATCTTGTTCTTTATACAAAACTTTCGACTAAAACACGTTTTTGTCGAAAAACAACTCTGCTAATAACGTGTAATTTTGCACACACACAAATTGAGAGTACTCACATGTACATAGATATGTATGTAGTACATATGTATGTGTAATTATGTAAGTAATAAATAATAGCTCTATGTTATTGCAATCAAAGATTAGAATACTGCTTATCCAATTGATACGAATACTTTTTCTAGAGGTTTGATTATTCAACAACAACATACATCTGCTAAATATGGGTACATAAATAGTGATAGGCGCATATGTTCATGTTGTTTATGATATCCGCATAGCTTTTAAAAATGTTCGAAACTTAGTGATATATGTGTATACAAGTCACGTTTCTTTTGTTTTGTCTTCGCAGTATTACGTGCGAGCCAACACAAATGTCAGCAGACTATGAATTTCATTTGTGATAACAAATAGGTACATCTTCATACATACATATGTATGAATGTATGTACTAACAAAAAATCACTGAACTTCCGACAAGCAAACGGGGACAGTTTTAAAGTAAAATTAAAGCAATACTAAAATAAATTGCTGTCTTAACACCTATCAGCATGCAGATCGTAGAGTGAAGTTGGTGTTGTAATCAAATGAATAATGTCACAGTGGACATTAGATAAATACGTATGTACATACATATGTACGACCTTGCGACGTAATCTTCGTCAAATGTGGAGAATATTAAAAACGACTTTTGTATATTGTAGTCTTATGTACAAGTAAAAATTCACGATTTGCTAAATTTAATGTTTTACAGAAGAAGCTCGAAACCTTCTTTAATTTAAATAGAAAGTGAGTGCAGTGCGGTTCTACAAAAAAGCCTGGTTTCTCTCAGATTTTGCCTTTAAATTTTGTTAAGGAAGGGTATTACATGGCACATTTAAGGAATATTTAAAAAAGGCAAATTTCTAAAGCATGGTTTAATAGTGCCATTTGCTTTGATGATGACGATGTGTACATACACACTCGTGTATCGTTGCACTAAATGACAACTCCAATTTGCATTTTTTGCGGGAGAAGCATTCAATGCACACAATCAGGTGTATAGGGCTTTATGAAAAGTTGGTTTACAATTTTTGTGCACACATACATACGTATATGTATGTACATATGTATATTGAATAACGCTTTTTGGTGTTGAATGTCATTATTTTGTACCTGCTTTACTTGACTCGTTAAGCATAAACAGGTGGACNCGGTGTATAGGGCTTTATGAAAAGTGTTAAAAGATCGTTGGTTAACAATTTTTGTGCACACATACGTATATGTATGTATGTATGTATTGAATAACGCTTTTTGGTGTTGAATGGCATTATTTTGTACCTGCTTTACTTGACTCGTTAAGCATAAACAGGTGGACGGAAGTTCGGTCAACACTACCAATGACATGGTTATTGGTTGTACATTATATTTTTCCCATAGGTGAATCATGCACGTACAAATGTACATACGTATGTATGTACGAGTATGTAGTACATACAACACGAAATATGCGAACGATATTTGATCCTGTTATACAAAAATTCAAAAAAGAGCATACCTATGTATATATGTATATGGATGCATGCGAATTTGCATACACGTATGTACATACGTATGTATATACAGGTATGTGCATATTTCATAGCAACATACATAAATATGACTATATATACTTATGTACATATGTACATATACATACATATGTACATACTTATATAATTTTTGTTCTTTCAGGTTTTTGGTGGAATTTATTTGTATGTACATTTAAAACCGTATGTAACGTATGTAATCGTTTTCAAATGTTGTTGATTAACCAATTTTTATAGAGCCCGATATTTGTACGCTATACATATTTGCAAGTTTAATCCACGTAGCGAAAAATTGAGGTTATTTTGGTTTTAATGAACAACTTAGCTTTTGTAAAACATTTTAGACTTGTTAAAGTTGTAGTTTATTCTATGTATTTTCTAACGAAATATGTATATACATAAATTCTTTTTGTTCAGACCAAAACGCAATACATATGTATGTATGTGTGTACTTCCAAAAATGTATCAGCTGTATGAACTGTAAGCTAGTTATATAATCAAAGGCGTTCTTATCGACACATCTTTTACGGTTGCTCACAACCATTAAAATACAAGCGCAGTTATTTAGAAATATCATACATTTGGCAGTGATTACACATTAACAATTATCTAAGAAAATGTTTAAGTGTAGTTATTGCGTTTTGTTATGAAACTCTTCAGATATGCATACTATGTATAGCACCTTATATATATTTACGTACATATTATGTATTAATAGTTGAAACCTTTTTAATTTTGAGACATTGATTTAAATGCTATTAATGAATCTTTATTCGTTAGGACCAACATTTTTATGATACCAGAATTCCGAAAAATCACATTTCTAAAAAACCGTCTTGTACATAATATGTATGTATGTTTATACATAGTCAGCATTTGTGCCCGAAAATTCATAAGTGTATTTACGTACATTCATGCATACATACATACATATGTACATTCGTGTACATGACCGTTTTTCACTAACTTGGTAAAGCTTTTAGGGAAGAACCAATAATTATCATTAAATTTGAGTCAACAAAATGAAGGTAAATTAGATAACGAATCGTTACGTGTCTATAACCATGTGTACATATGTATGTACATATTTATACTAGGGTGGTCCAAACAAAGTAAAGCCGCATTTTTAGTGCTCTATATCGAAGAAATATACCCTTTTTGAAAGCAAAAAATATTTACAGGTCGCTCAAAGCGTAGATATTTTCCCATGTATTTTATATGGGACAAAAACAAATTTTAGTATAAATGGTATAGAATCCTTGAAAATCAATATTTTTCTGTTTCTCCTCAGACTGATATAAAAACTAATACACAATTGTTTATTTAACAATTTTTTTAGTACTAATTATTTTTTATTGGTCCCCCAAAAACTCCCAAAAAGCATTGGGGGAACCTATAACAAATAATTTATGTATATTGAAAAATGGTTAAATAAACAATGAGGTATTATTGTTTTAAGTCTTCTGAAGAGAAACAGAATTTGCCGATTGAAAAATATTGATATTCAAAGATTCACTATTATTTCTACCAAATATTTGCTTTTTTTCTCATCACGGAAAACTTTGAGCCTAAATATTTTTTGTTTACAAAAAACATAGAGGTATATTTTTCTCCTATAGAACAATTCTAATTGGTGAGAGCGTTAAAATTCCGACTTTACATTTCCGAATGCATTTTTGGACCACCCTAGTCGACACACATAAAACAACCATTTTTACAAAAAAAAAAAATGTTTGCGAAAATTGATTGACCAACCATGCTAAGTAAATATATGTAATTATATACTAACATACGAACATACTTAGTAAGTATGTATGCATGTACATATATTTCAATTCCATGAAAGACGCTGTTGGACTAAATAATTATAACCGAGTCCAACTTTATCACCCATGGAATCTCACAACGCATTAACTTTCAACATGTGTATGTAGTTGTGGGTCACATCTCAAAGTGTGCATTGTTATGCTAATGATTTTGCTAGCAGTTTTATAAAAGAACCCCGTTACCCGTAATACAACGTGCAGTGGAAAGCGAACCGTAAACAATCCATAACTTCAATTAACGAGAAAAGCGCTGTTTACATATACATACATACCATATGTACCATGTACATATGTACCAATGTGCACAACAACAATTTACTAAGGTTTTAGGTCAAATTGTAAAGTTGTGAAGCAGATCTTACGAGTAAGCCGAATTATTCGCGATCCATGAAATGTTAAGGCTGCTTGCCGAACGCTTTTTCTTTGCAATTTTGTTTTTAACTTTTTATGAAACACTTCTTAAAAATATAAGTTTTTTTCTTATATTTCCCCAGAAAATCGATCCTTTGATCCGCATTCAAGAAGAAATTAAGGAAGTTGTTCGACGTGAAGAAGAGCATCGCCAGCTTACAACTGGAGGAAGTTCTCCAATATCGGCAAACGAATACGAAACACACCACGAAAATGGCACAGTAAATAACAGTTACAGTCATATTGACAACGACAGCACCAATAGCATCTCAATCAGCCCTGTTCCACATTCATCCTTAAATAACTTGGAAGGTTCTTTGAATATTCCTTCTTTGCCGCATAGCGAAAATAGCGTGAACAGTAAAGAAAGTATTGACGATGATTCAGGCATATCCGCCTCACCTAGCCCCGTAAATGGTGTCTCAGCCAACCAAAGTCTCAGCGAGTCCACAAAGCCGTCAAAAGAGCAGCGTTATATCGGTCCAAATTGTTATACAATCACCCCGGAACCTCCACGTCAGATGATAATCGCGAACTCGGTTCCAGCTACACCTCCGGTCGTCAATAGGCAGCGCATGTTTGCATTCAATCCCGCCAATAAGGGTGTAATGCAACGTTTTATAGCCACACGCGGAAGATTGCAGATGAACAACAATAATAACAATGGATCCAATAAGATTTTCTTGAATACAAAAAATGCCGCTGCACTACTTAATACAAGTACTATGTCTCCTCTAACAATCAACACGGCAACAGGGGCTTTGGCAAGTCCCTTGCATTCAACTATGGCGCTTGATATACTCACACCATCCATAACCATACCGACTGTGACAATGACGCCTCCTCTCATAGAGCGGGATGCAGAAGGAAGAGTTATACGACGTGGTTATGTTCCAGCAGAAGTTAAGATTCAGAAAGAAATCAAAGACTTACAGGCTCGTGAGCATGAACTGAAAAAGCGAAACAGATTCCGACAATCCACATCCGATTTGCTTGAGGCTATTGGAAACGAGTAAGTGTAGCAGTGTAGTTAATTAAAATACGAAAAGAAATGATGTTTTGTACTTACTTTCCATTTACAGCCACGAGGAGACAGATGACGAGGACTCTGAAGTTGAGCACTGCGTCGGTCCCAGACAACTTCGCTCGGCAAAGTCCATTAGTGAAATCAGCTACTCCACTCAGTTGAATAACAGTATCTCTCCAAGGTACAACGTATTACAACTTCCCAGTCAATCTGGCACAATTTTTTAAAGCTCAAATAGTCAACGACGTAGCGTAGACGTAGGTTGACGTAGACACGATCTACCTTATGGGATTCGCGTTTTAACGAAAACTCACCACCGCATGGCGGTGACGTTGCCGTTGCTTCTCTCTCTCTCTATCAACAGTAAATTTGAAATGCTGCTACGTACGTCAACCTACGTTTACGCTACGTCGTTGACTAACTGCGCTTTTAGTTTCGATCGGAAAGTTATATTGGTTAAAACAACGAAATGTCCTATCTCTCAACTTGACAGGAAATATTGTGTAATGAATTAAAAAACCACGCGAAAGTGATTAGTCGCAGCGTTTTACTTCACGCTGCAATTATGTAGAGAACTTCTTCCACGGGAAAGGAAAGTTTTTCCATCTTGATATTTTTTCCGTCAGTGATATTAGCAGCGATCTGTTAACTGCGAATAGTTTTTAATTAATTAAAAATATTTGTTTTCGGGTCAACCGAAGCCTAGGAAATAAGTATTTCCTGTTGTCAAGTTAATTAAACTTTCAGCGCTCGCTCCAGATGAAAAAAAGATATCCTTGCCTGTTAAGGTATAAATAAAAAGGGAAAGTGTTTGGTATTTTTGGTTTTGATTTTCATTAAAATTATAAGGCCCGTTTTCTCAAGTAGGTTTTAAAACTTATCTGCCCCTTAACAGCGTTAAAACTTTGCATGGAACCCTGTTTTGAATAATTTGCACAAATTTCCCCAATTCAAACCAAGATCCATTGCTCTCCTGCAGCATATATTTCATTAGTGATCAAATCTGAAACATTGTACTCATCGTCTATGAAAAATTCACTGTTATAATTATCTATATCTATTAAATCCATTAGTTGAAGCTCTTGTACCCCAGTACAATCAAAAAAAAAACAAATCTTTTTCGTTCTGAGAACACATCCAAAAAAACAATAGGGATATTCATTTAAAATCACAAACTACCGGTAAACGTGATAAAATGATACATTTGTATGGACAAGACAGCCTTACATGAGAGAGGGGTTAACAGATAGGACATTTCGATATTTTAATCAAATCAAAGCCAGATTGACTTCTCTATAAATTAAATTAAAACTTAAAGTCAGGGACCATAATGGTTATTATCTTTATAATGAAAATCATATTTGAGCCGTTGAAATTGGATTTCTATTTTTCCCATCAATTATTTTATGATTTTTATTTTTTTTCGATGAAGAAGAATCGTTATTTTTAACCGACTTCCAAAAAAGGAGGAGGTTATCAGTTCGTCGGAATATTTTTTTTTATTTTGTATGTATGTATGTTACCGCATAACTTTGGACTACGTCAACCGATTTCGATAATTCTTTTTGCATCGGAAAGGTAGTGTCTCAGAGGTGGTCCGATACTAATCTGGTTCAGATCCGATCAGTCGATCATGAGATATATATATATATATATATATATATATTTTATATGGGAGTTGAAGTCGGTTTTTTTTTGCTAAAAATTACTTGTTGAATGAATTTTTGCTCGTTATTTTTGATTTTTATTTTTTCGATAATATTATAACCGTTAATTTCAGACTTAATTGTTTAGCTCATAAAAGATTTAAGTGGTTCAGAAAAGCGCATGGATAATGGTTAAAAGTGATCGAAAAAATAAAAATCCAAATTTAACTAGTATTCTTAAAATAAATATTTTATACTGATCTACCAATTAAAATCTTGATATTTAATGGCTATTTTCCCTCTCTGCATAAAGTTATACATTCATTTTTTTTTTAGAGCAACTCCTAGTCCAGATATCGATGTTAAAAAGATTGGCAGCGGCGCAATGCGTCCGGCTATGTCATTGGCACAGCTGTGTGATTTGCCACCAGAGGAGGCGCCGTCTTCGCATCGTCTCATAGTGGAATGGGAAAATCGCATACAGATGAATGCTGCGCGCAATTCTACAGCACTACCCAACGAAGAATAGATTAGAATAAAATTTAACAATGTCATTACACCAAATTTATCTGTAATTGCGAGTAAAAAGAAAAGGCCTGTATCATTTTATATATGTATTTAGTATTATTTCAAAAGAACCATTCGATTAAGCTCTTATTAATTTACCAGTACCAATTGTAGTAACTTATTGGTATTTCTTTCAATATAGTACTTATTTACGAAAAAGTATTGTAAGTATCTAAGCATGTGTGTATGTATGAGCATTTATATTTATCTACTACAAAGAGAGTATTTTATTATTAAACCTAGAACCCAACTTTGAGTACAGATGAATACTTATGTTCCCACATCAAAGCAAAGAGCAATCTAAAATCAAGACATTGAGCTGGAACCTTCTTTAGAATAAGTACCGATATGCATATATCTGGTACGCAATGGAACGAAGTAGATTGATTATATTTATTTATTGCATTTAAATTTGTAAGTGCTCTTACAGTGTAAATATCAGAATCTAATTGTTAAATTATGAAAAATTATGTATTTTAATAAATCAATGAATATTGAATTATCCTTTAATTTAGAGAATAATATCCTCTTGACTCCGACTCTTCCACAATCGTAATAATTGCTGCAAATGCCTCTTCGGCAGTTGGTTTTATTTCTGCGGCTTGTAAAATAAATAAATCCTTACTATCGGGCGGACCTCGCAGTTCAAATGAAAATGTGATGGGGATCTTCAACACGCCATGGGCCCAATCTTTTGAGCCGCCACTGGATGGATATATGGTTTCATATATACTGCCACTTTTGTATATACGACCGGATACTTGTTTAATCTTTTCACTGGCTTTTTTCCCAATCGCTGTGAGATCATCATAGTTTTCCACGCGATCTGCTGTATGCCCGTACGGAAACATAATCATTTGTGAATAGGAGTGTAAAGCGATGTATGTTTTTATATTTTCGCTAAGTAAGTTTTCCTGAACAAATTTGATAAGTCTCTTAGTTTCCGTTTCACTGGCAGCAGCAGGACCTGAATAATCATATCGGCACGGGTCGCCGCTGGTGCCTGTAGTGTTCCAGTGAAATGGATAATTTCTGTTTAAATCCACTCCGCGACAAATTCCGAAAATTTCACGATTCTTACGCCACATACGATCACCTTCGAAGGTATATTTGTATCCATCTGGATTAACTACGGGGAAGATAATCCAATTATATTCGTTCGCGTACTTCTGGATCTTTGTATCGTTCGACAAGAGAAGTTCATTGATGATATAATTTGCTGTTGCCGGTGCTATCCACTCACGAGCATGTATGCCACTTTCAACAAATATTGTCGCTGTTCCATTGTTTTTATTTTTTTTAAGACTTAATCCTTTGATCGGCAAACCTTGGGCACTTTCTCCCATGTTTATAATAGTTAGATCTTTGGGATTTTCCTCAGCTAATAACTCCATCCACGAATAAATAGTTTCGAGATGAAAGTAGTGCAGCCAGTCCATATTTCTCGGATTGATATCCTTGGGGAGCACTTCTTTAAGATTCCGATCAACAATTTCTTGAAAATTGTAGCTCTGTTTCGTATACATACATGCATAATAATAAAAGAAATACATATATGAGTATACTAGTTAAAATTTGTTATATGAATCTGTACATCGATGTTTAATATTAATATTTTTTCTTACCAGCACATGATGATTAACTTTATAAGTTTGCAGCAAATCAGCAAAGTCGGCTATTTTATGGGCGGCCACCATGATGGTTAATTTTTGTTGCGGATGCCTTGCATGGCCATAAAATGTGCAGCTGTCACTTTTTTCCTCTAATTCTTGGAATAGGGCAACGTGCTGTTCCGTAGACAACTCCACGTGATAAACTCTATAGTGATCATATCGAGCAATATTGGGATAGGATTTAATAAAGTCCTCGCCTTCCTCATAGCTCAAAACCGGCTTGATTGCATTTATCTCAAAGAGTGCCACAAAAGCAATAAACCATAATATATTAGAATTAATTGATCGCATTTTCGAAAACATGTCTGCCGGCTGAGCCACGCTGTAAGAAACTGATCTGTTTGCAGTAGAGCACTCGGCAAGGAGCGCTCGTTTAGTTGATCATAAAACAAGCGTTATCATACATACATACATACATACGTATATATTTTTTGTCAAGTACTGAGCTAACGGGCCCTACCTTTGGCATCGCAGTGAATTTTTATTGAACTGATAACTATTTTCTGTCACAGTTGGGGATACTTAATCCACACAATATATGTAACAGATAGCGCAAAATTCTTTGCAGCCTCTAAGGAGAACAGTTATCCCCGGAAATAATGGGGAAGGTCATGGAAATGCGATAAAACAGAAAATGCATAAATGTTTGTCAACACTGGCGATAGCCACCTGACGGATATCATATTTTTTACTTAACAGAAGAAATTGTAAAGCTACAATTTTCATCACCCAAAATCAATTTTTTAATTAAAAAGTTATTCAAAAACCAAATTGGTTGATTCATTTTGCTCCACCTGTATAAAGTAAAGTTGCATTTGATGTAGGGCGCTTTTGGATCAAATTTTGAGGGCGTTCTTCAATCAAGTTTTCAAGTGGTGTGTCCTTGGAAAGTTTTCTGAGATAGAGTCTTTTCGAACCGGCTGCCGAGATAAGTCGATCTTTAACTCAGCCGTCGAAATAGCCAAACGTTGGGTATGTAGGGTAAAAAAATCACTGATAAGTCAATGCCTTACATACATATGTATGCACATACCTACATGTACGTACAAAACAAATGACCCACTGGGAAAATAGGTAAGCACCTTGCGAGGTAAGCCATGTTTTCTTTCAGTTTTTAGTACCAAAATTGTCATCATGGCCAATGTCATCTACTAGTAAAGGGCAAAATGAACACCTCCGAAGACACATTACGTTGTCAGTTGCAAAATAACGTGCAGCCGAAGTTATTTCCAAGCACCGAACTACTCCGAGCGACTGCTCTGCATTACACGTAACTTACTTTGTAAAGCGGCTCAGAAGTATATCTGATACCAAATGTACATTCTAAATTCCTACTTACATAAGGCGGCCATGCCTTTGTAAAAGTAAGGGACGTTCGGCAGGGAAATGGTAATGACTGCCAGGTGAAGAGTAAGTTGCTAATAAGGTATTATTACGTGCTCCTAATTCCCACTGGGGATATTCATTTTAATGGTGACATTTACATACTACAATAATTAAAAAAAAACGAATTTTGTTTGTTTCTCACGTACTTACATACATGTGTATGCACTTATCGAGCCCTAACCGCCAAATTAACGTAAGCGACATTTTTTTCAAAATTTTCTTTTTGATGCAGAAATGCATCTAGATGCTCTAGGAATATTTCTGCATCAAAAAGAAAATTTTGAAAAAAGTCTCGCTTACGTTATTTTGGCGGTTAGGGCTCGATATGTATGTTACATTAACAACGTTTTCTATAAAATTTGAAACCAACTAAATAATGACTTTTCAATTAGTACGATGCAGCAATAGGCATTATTCAAGTTCATTAATGATTCTTCTTCATAAGTGTTCTTTTCGAAGTTGTACAATTTTGGACGAAATAAAGAACCATGACTGTGCATATGTATGTATGAGTTTGGCAGCAATAGCTTGTTCGAATGTAGGCACTCGTGTTTTCGTATTCAGCAGCCAAGTCATAGGACTTTCGAAAATGTACTGTTCGCTGTAAAATGTAAAAAAACCCTCTCATAATCGAATATTGCGCTCACCGGTTAATCAAATGGGGGTTGAAATGAAATTGTCATAGTTACTTCGAAATTTCTACATAACAGAAAAATCCTGGCGCCTTCCAAAGGATATTATGAAAGTTGTTTATGTTTGTCATCTGACAGGTAACGAGTGAGCAGAAAAGCTTCCCAGTCTAAAAAGCTCAGAGCTAATTGAGCAAATCCTTGCAGTGGTGGAAATTTCATTCGTGCAGAAGGGTCTGCCTTTAGTAGAGTATTGTACACATCTGTGCATGAAAATTTAGCAATATCCAGATAACGTGTCCTTTCCTTTGCACAAATTATGCATAAAAACCAAAGAAGATTGTGATTGTAGTAATTAAAATGAATGAAATCGTGAAAAGTGAAACTTTACGAATGAAAAAATCTAATTGAAAATAAATTAGTTTATAGAAAAAAGGAGTAAAATGGCTTTGTGTGTGAGCAATCGAGTGCCGAAATGGTGTTCACCACAGGAAAAATTCCGTCGGTCTGCCCTTGGTGTACACGCTGCAGAACTGTTATTAACGTGAACGGGTGACAGGCTTTGGCTCTCGTCAAAATTTTAACATTTCCATAAAGTTTGGCTTTGTTCGTCAAAAAAAAAATATATTTTATAATTTTTGATTACGTGAAAACATTGATTATCTTGCCAAAATGCCGAATAAATATTAGAAAGCTAAGTTCCTGCAAAGACTAAAAAGTGATTCCTTTAAGATACGAAATCCTACAGACAGCCTTCACTCGTGTCGACAACTCCTGATTTGAGTGTACTACAATTTATCCGTACAAATAGTTATTGACAATTTTTACTTCCTTAAGCACTGCGATGATAAATATGAAATCATAATTGAAGAAACAAAGAAAATCTACTGCCGTTACACTCCTTTCGTTATAGTGTTGTAGGAAAAAAAGGTTAATACATACACATATGTATTTGTAGATATATGTGAGTATATGTAGATGGGAGCCCAAAGTCAGTGGAACCATATTAACTACCATTAAAATTAAATAAATTCATTCGCGGATGTGACTGTGGTAAAATCATTAACAAAAATAAAAAGGCAATAAACAGCTATCTAGTACTAATAAACTTTAACAAAAGTTCTTCTANTTCAAATAGGGGTTGAAATGAAATTGTCATAGTTACTTCGAAATTTCTACATTACAGAAAAATCCTGGCGCCTTCCAAAGGATATTATGAAAGTTGTTTATGTTTGTCATCTGACAGGTAACGAGTGAGCAGAAAAGCTTCGCAGTCTAAAAAGCTCAGAGCTAATTGAGCAAATCCTTGCAGTGGTGGAAATTTCATTCGTGCAGAATGGTCTGCCTTTAGTAGAGTATTGTACACATCTGTGCACGAAAATTTAGCAATATCCAGATAACGTGTCCTTTCCTTTGCACAAATTATGCACAAAAACCAAAGAAGATTGTGATTGTAGTAATTAAAATGAATGAAATCGTGAAAAGTGAAACTTTACGAATGAAAAAATCTAAATTGAAAATAAATTAGTTTATAGAAGAAAGGAGTAAAATGGGGTTGTGTGTGAGCAATCGAGTGCCGATATGGTGTTCACCACAGGAAAAATTCCGTCGGTCTGCCCTTGGTGTACACGCTGCAGAACTGTTATTAACGTGAACGGGTGACAGGCTTTGGCTCTCGTCAAAATTTTAACATTTCCATAAAGTTTGGCTTTGTTCGTCAAAAAACAAATATATTTTATAATTTTTGATTACGTGAAAACATTGATTATCTTGCCAAAATGCCGAATAAATATTAGAAAGCTAAGTTCCTGCAAAGACTAAGTGATTCCTTTAAGATACGAAATCCTACAGACAGCCTTCACTCGTGTCGACAACTCCTGATTTGAGTGTACTACAATTTATCCGTACAAATAGTTATTGACAATTTTTACTTCCTTAAGCACTGCGATGATATTAAATCATAATTGAAGAAACAAAGAAAATCTACTGTCGTTACACTCCTTTCGTTATAGTGTTGTAGGAAAAAAAGGTTAATACATACACATACATATGTATTTGTAGATATATGTGAGTATATGTAGATGGGAGCCCAAAGTCAGTGTAATCATATTAACTACCATTAAAATTAAATAAATTCATTCGCGGATGTGTGTGTGTGGTAAAATCATTAAGAAAAACAAAAACGGCAATAAACAGCTATCTAGTACTAATAAACTTTAACAAAAGTTCTTCTAGTTCCTTTTGTCCAGACAGTTCAAAACAATTACTTAGATGGTTCCTTATAGTTTTTGCAAAATAATTTGGCATCAGAGAGCTAAAGACATTTAATGCATTAGTTAATTTCTTACCACCCAACCCGCACTGTCATCCTACTGTTGATAAGTGCCCACATACATACATACGGAGACATACATACATATACACACATGTATATGTGCTCTTCATAATGGAACGCATGTGGCGCAAGGTTAATCATAGTTTCGGTGGTCGCTCCTCCAAAACAACATCCGGCACACAATCGGTGGACACAACGGGCTCAGGCGGCGGGTTTTGTGATGGCAACATTGTTACAATGGCTGTTGCGGGAACGACCGCAACTGGTGGAGGCAGTGCAGGCAACTTGCCATCCAGCACGGCCACTGGGCGACGTTTAGCCGCCAGTGGCCAGATTCCAGTCCCAGTCCCGACAAGCAATAACAGCGCCCAACAAACTGCCATAGAGGGCAATCATGTGGTTTCGCCATGTCCAAAATCGCTAAGCCAACACGTGCTTCATAACAGCCAAGCATCCTCCGACCGGCGTCGGAGACGTCGACGCAAGAGTCGCCCACGACGGAGCGGTGTTAGCTGTGTAGGCGGAGGCGGTGCGGACAATATGTCGTAAGCTAGAACTTAATTTCTAATCAAGGCAAAGCATAACTTTGTTTACATTTAAATTTATCGAATTTATAGATCATCTGGTGGTTTTTACACGATAAAAGAGTCTTCTGATGGCACAATGGGCAATCATCGACATCATCGCCAACCAAGACTTTCATCGAGTCGCATTATGGCCACATCAGCGCCCAGTGGCACCGTAATGATGTATCCCAACACAAATCGAACGATGGATACGATGTCATCCGAAATAGCAACAAGACAGACAACAACAGCAGCAGCCGCAGCAGCAACGTCAGCTACTCCAGATATTTCACTGCGACAGCGAGCCGTCGCAAAGCTACGCATGTTCAATTTTCATCTAAACTGGGATTTGCACATGACTCATTGTAAGCCATGCGGGTAAGTTATTTGAAATATCTAGCAAACTTGCACCCAGGCATACATA